GAACCCGTGGCCTTGGTGTTATCAGCACCGCACTCTCCTGAGTGAGCCACGGGCCAGCCCATGTTTTATATTTTATCATAATTTCATAATGTGAATGAAAGATCTTTCCAAATCTCCATTTTACCCCAGTGTACCACATAAGCACGGTCACTTTCTTTGAGCATCCTGTCATGAGAAGGTTGGGAAACACTGTGTAAAGTATAAACAAATGCTGTCAAACTGTAGAGAAAATCGAACACTGGATGCAGGCTAATGAGACCCTCTGAGGAGGTAGGAACACATGTACTTTTACAGTAAAGATAATAAGTAAAGTTGTGTGCACACAGGTGTTTATGTCACTGTTCTCCATGTTTTATAAATAGTTTTGTACCTGTTTAATATTTAATGAAATAATTTAAAAAGAAAAACTCCCTTTTATAAGTCCCCAGAAAATTTGATCTTTCCTCATTTATTATGCAGGTTGTCTTTCTGGTTAATTTTATATATCTGCAATACTATTACAGAAGCTCAAGCACTTGGAAAACATTTGTGATAGTAGCAATGCCCAGTGTTTCATAATGTGTCTTGGTGGTGATAACAGGAGAAGCAGAGACTCAAGGACATCAGAAAAAATAAGTAGATCTGGAGCGGCATGTAATTCTGAGCTATGCTAAAACTAAATTTCCTGTAATTGAAAGATAAGTATAGCTTTCTATAGTCACATGTGGGTATTTCAGTTCTCTAAGCCTTGGTAATCTCTAAAATGTACAGAGCAGCTGGGACTGAGTCACAAATTAGCCTCTTGCTCCAAAACTNATCTCTAAAATGTACAGAGCAGCTGGGACTGAGTCACAAATTAGCCTCTTGCTCCAAAACTATTATGACCCTTTATACTGTGGGGCCATTGGTAAATTACTCAATCATCAATAAGAAAGGATAACTATCCACCTCCTCTCAGATATTATAATGAAGAACGGAAAAGTACTTGTACTGCGCTCCGAGCGTCAGGAATGAATGAAGAGACGTGTCGATTCGTAGTGTTCCTTTGTCTCAGCATGGGAGCCGGTGCCCCCCGGTGGGAAGTAGCTGCTGAAGAAATAGAAATGTGCTAATGCTACTTGGTGAAAGGGACTGTTGAACACCAGGTGGTGCGACTCAGCAATAGTTATCATACTGACAACTGAAGTAAACTGAGTTTTTAAACTAGTTGAATATAGGATTGTGAGCACAACTCCCCACTAAAAGACACAGACAAGCCATCATCAAACATAGTTTGTCTTCAAAGGGTTCCCAGTATTTCTGACTGGGAGGCAAACAGTTCCCTTTGCCTGAGATATCTGTGGCTTTCATGGGGTGTGTATTGATACACAGGGTTTTTTTTGTTCCATTGTGAGTGATGCTCATTTTTTTTTATGGCATTTTTTTTCAGGCCTGGATGAATGAAAAGTTTGCCCCTGAGCTACTGGAAAGCAAGTCTGAAATTATAGAATGTGTCATTGAGCAGCTAGATCACATGGTAAGTGTTGCTGGTCCCAGGGTTACAAAGTTAGAGAAAGTCAAAAGCATGTGGTCCACATGGTGACAGGCTGGGGTCTGATAGAAAATCTGTTCCATTTGGCTCAGCCCAGTATTTTTTTTTTTTTTTAATATTGAATTAGTTCTCTACATTTACAAAGCCTGAAAGTTCCTATAAATATCTAGATATCAGTTTC